CCGCTGGCATCAAATTCAAATTTGTTCGAGGAACAGCTGAATGTAGTGTGGATAATTTCAACAAACTGAAAAAGTGTTTCTTTCCTTCGAAAGTCAATTCGACCTTTTTTTGGTATTCAAACTGAGCGCTAAGCATTGAAATAAGGGGCTCTTATTATTGCAAAATCCTGTTGTATTTCAGTTTCAAGTTACGTTCAATGGCAGTAATCACAAGGGAACGAATATCAGAAAACACTGTCCTCAAGAATTTGAAGGGTTTTAAGCATCTATCTGCTCTCCAAACTTCCAGAAATTTACCTTGTACTGATAGAGGTGGAAATGGATACACATGATGTAGTTGACGTGGACGCACTCAAAGTAAGCTTTTACTTAACGAGATTGAAGTTAAAACACTGAAGGTGATCAACAGAAGGAATATCTGACTGTGAATAAATGAAAATCATAAATGTGAACTGCGGGTATACATGATCAGATATGAACATATGATTCCATATATTCACTATCATTTATTCATCACTTCACGGGTTTATTACATATTTTGGATATATCAACAAAGTTGAAATGGTAAATTGGCCACCGTAATGATTACAAAAGCTGACGTTTCGAGCGTTAGCCCTTCGTCGGAGCTTACCTCCCAGTTGGCTTGTTAGCTCAGTTGTTCGCATTGTACCGTTATCGCAGAGGTCATACGTTCAGATCCCGCGCAAAACTAGACTTCTTCAGGCCTGATTTTCACTATTGCTCAAGTATTGTTCAACACTGCGAAGATTGCTTTGATAATCACTAATAATATCATTACACAAAGGTTTAAAAGACATCCTGCTCAATACCCCCATGAACATCCATCAAATAAAACCGCGGAGTTAAAAGTAGAAGCTGGTAAACACTTTCCAGAGCCCAGAATAGGAGACGTTTTCGGCTTTATTTGGCACTCTATGGTGTAGACATTCTGGACCATTCTCTTTAAGCGAAACGATTTCTCAACTGAAGATAAGAACAATTCAAATTCTTTGATAATATTTGCGAAATGTCAAGACTATCTGCTAACCCGTGGAGAAGTTGGTTTACAAGTAAGGTCAAACCGCATCTACAGACAGCATAAAAAAAAATGTGACGGTAGAAATTGAAACAGATTGGTTTGGAAATTAATTTTGACAGGTAAGCTGCCTGTTGCTGCGGATATGAAGGAATTAAAAAGACAAGTGAAAAAGTGAAGTAGGTGTTTTATGAGAAAGGAAATGTATAACTTGGAATGATCCATATATTTTGGGCAAATTCAGTGTCGTGATCCAGGCGGGCTTAGTACACGAGCCCTAACTCAATGAACCGAGAAATGGGTTGTTATGCAATGGTAGATAGCGTTTTTGTTGCACTCAATACACGTGCCGACATCTCTCCCTAGGTTTGAAGTTACACCTCACTCAATGTGGTCTACTGTGATAGAGAAAGTTAACCCATACAAGTCACGCTTCTGTATTCGGCTCTCTTAATTCTCAATTTATTACAACCCTTTACCCAAAACTTACTTTCAATGTCAACGTAATTGGTACGCCTACTTAAAGACAGTAACTCAAGTCCATTATATCAAAGACGTTTATAATCTCAGTTTTACTAAATGTTTTATGCACCATGAACCAATGCGTAGGAATTGTTTAAATGGGTTCCAGAAAACTCCACACCTTCTTTGAAAGGAATAACACCTGAGACGATCGTTGCATCCACTTCCCCTTTATTAGCTTTACGGCAGCTTGACACTTTCATAGAGTTATAATTACTTTTTGTTATTTGCTTTTCACGCTGACAATCTTATGAACGTTATTTTTTCGGCATTTATAGAGCGCATGTGACTCCTGCTGAGGAAATAATCTATTTCTAGATAAGGTCTCTGTCGGCTTGCGTCACGCTGCGAATTTCGCTCGCAGGTTGTTCCTGAAATAGCTGTCAGCTCAAGTGTCATGGGAAAATAGTAGAGGAAAAATACGCGTTTCTGATTGGGCAGAGTTATGTGATTAATCACTAGGGAAGCCTGAGTCAACTGCCGAAAGTTTTCATCCCGGACGACGAAGAAGGTGGGGTCGTCAATGATTACCAAACGTATTTACGATTAACTTTAATAATTCATCACATGAACATCGTAAATCGAGATCCCCGTTTAACGGGTGACAATCGACTGTAAGATGCAAAGCGAAGGCCAAGATTTAAACTAATTGTACCTCAAAATAAATGCAAAAACACTGACTACGCACCGAGGAGAGTCGCGTTACAAATCACCCCAAAAAATAGTTCAAAAGTACTTTGTCAGAATTGGCCCCCTGACATTAAATGTAGTCCCGTAGGATCGCAAAAATTTGAAGTATCTGCATTTTCGAAAAACATTTTCCATACTCTCAACGTTTGGCTGCGTAACTCAGTTGGCAGCGACTCCCAACTAGTATCTGTCGAAGCCTGAATTTTTTTTTTTTTCAGCCTTCTTCTCTGCAACTGCTAAAATTGCAGCCCACTTTCAAGGACCCTGGCTTTAATAGGTACCCCATAGTGTAGCCAATCGAGACTATTCCCCTTAAAGAGAGAGCGGGTGAGGGTTTTTAAGTAAAACTAAGAGCTACTAATATTCTAGAATGCTCTTTGTGTAATGTTAAGAGGGAGTGTAAACCTGTGCAGAAGTTGGCTAACAACTAAGGTCAACCCGCAGACACAGCAACATAAATTATCATGTGACGGTAGAAATTGTAATAGATAGGTTTGGAAATGAACAGGTAATCTGTCTGCTGGAGACAGCGAGCAAAATTTAAATAACGAGTGAACAAGTGAATGGAGTGTTGTATAAAAAAGGGAAAATATTTTCACCATCAAACGCGTAAACAATATGGAGCGACAATTTGTTACTCTGTTGAACAACTACGAAGAATTCTTCGCATTCTTATTCCTTTCTGTCGATACTCATCTGAGTGGATTGTGGAGATATCAACTACGAAGTCTGAGTCGTGTTTCCATACTCTGGCGATAATATCGCACGAGAAGCCTTATTAAAGGGGATTTAGACTTGTTAAGTTCCTGCTGGAAGAGAATGTTTCTCTTTTCCTTTCAGAATGTTCTTCGATGAGGGATTCAAACGCTCGAAATGAGTCCGACGTTTTGCCAATTAATAGAAAATGTTTGATCTGACGTTAGATTGCCGGAACGAATGATAGCACGGGGGCACACACGCGTCTCAGTGACTGTTAATTGTGCATGATGCACTGGAACTGATTGAGCATGATTGCATGGTCTTCCGTGAGACAACGACGACTTCGCGGATAAGAGAACTTCAGAGCACTTTTGAGGTCATGAGCATATGTGACGGAACTGTGCATAAAGTGAAAGACTGCCGTGAATTTAGAGGAACACGACACCAAAGAGATCTTAAATTATGATTAAGTTTAGTCCGTTGTCGGAGTTGTGCTGTTTGGATTGTTAGGAATTTGTCAAAGGTGCTTTTGTTTCATCCTGAAGACAAATTGTTCAGCGCTTGCTGTGCATAGAGCACAGACGATTTTTGTTATCTTAAAATGCACCCAAACACTGAGCTACATTGTAATAAGGCGTATAACAAAGAGCTGTTGTAAAACTTCAAGGAACTGTTCCACTGTATGAAAGTAAATAAACTTGAAATAGCACATCTCTTCGCCGGGAAGTCATATAAGGACGTGTGGAATGTACGATGTTGGATTATAGGGGCTTAACTGCAAAATAACAAGTACAAATTATCATGCGTGGTCCTTTAAGAGGCTTTATGGCAGCTCTCTGAATCAACAGACTTAACTCGATAACTCTACTGACACAACTTAGATATAATCTTTTAATTCAGTCGCGACTTTTTATCTACTGTGAGTTCTGAGTGCAAAACTATCGACACCAGTGTGTGTGGCGAGGTTCTGACAAGCTGCACGCGAGCGGAAGTCTGACGCTTCTTGGTCAAAATAATCAACAATATTGCCGGCAACACTGATTTTCCATCCTTGATTACACAAAATTACTAGATGGAGTGATTCATTGTTCGAATAATTCAAGCAATGGATAGACCTTCCGATCAAACAGATACGAAGCCATATCGGAATTAACCAAGCTCAAAATCATGGGTTGCGAGCTAACCTTTTCGAACAGGTTAGCTTTGCTAAGAAAACATCGCTCCTGCAGAGATTCGAGACTTACAGGCAGATAAGATTTAACAAATGCTGTTTCTAGGATCCTAAGAAAACAATTTTTCCAAAATGTAAACATTTGTGGCTGGCTGTCACGCCAGAACTTGACACTGCACTTGGCGTCGTAGCCAAATTGTAAATATTGCACAAGAAAATGGCTTGGTTATCTCGAGATATTCCCAGATATAACCCGCTTATCAGATGCAGCCGTGGCTAATCACATGGCTAAAGCGTGCCGGTATCTTTACAAAAAGTAACCTTTCACCGCCAGGCTTATGTTTGCTTTACTAAACAATCTCTTGACCAATCATTTCAGTCCAACTAACATTACGATGCAACCATGAATAATTTCATTGTGCTCAATACAAATGTTTCTAGGACAAAAAAGTCACAACGAGCCAAAATCGGTAGCCCATCGACGTAATTTCTGAAAATTTACTTTCGTGTACGACAAAATAACCCTGCGGCTAAATGATCAATTTTCCCAGCCAGAGCGTTGAAAAAATAGCATCTATTGTGGAAACTGATATACGGAAATAGATTTTAACGTTAAATAAAGCCACTGAAGGTCAACAATGACTCTTTGTTAAGAGGTGACCTTCCAATTTTGGAGCAGCATAATGAGCTTTCTGAAGCAAACCGTTCAGAATACTACACGCAAGTTAACGATCCGATTAACACCTTTTTCGCTAAGTAAAATTCAATTAACGTCATCTTAAGTTCCTGCATCAATGGTACACAGGAAAATTTTGCTGGGAAGGGAGTTTTCTGTACTATTTAAACAACACAGCAGCCACGTGAACATATTAAAACATTCACTGGAACACTAAGAGCACTCGATCAAAACGCGACTAATGAATTACTGTCTTAATTAACACGACTAGAATGGCGTGATGATCGCCGATAAATAGATAAAGTTCAATGGGGTGTAAACAATTTGTTCGCATATTTATACATCATTCTATGCCTCTCAAGACCATTTGAACCTTGATCGCATCTGTGTGCAGAGCGGAGAAGAGAAGACCACCTCTTGCAAGTTCTCGAGATCACTATGAGTTTTTCGTTTGCTGAGTTCCTCTCAGCTGGCCAGATTTTGCTCTTATGTTGTGTAGTCTGTGTGTTCCTGACAGGAAAAGCAATATGGAAGAATTCTTTTTCCAAGTTGCCTCCAGGTCCTTGGGGCATGCCAGTGATAGGTAAGTTTAACATTCCTAAGTTAAAAAAAGATTATTTTGGCTAAGTTCTTTAAATGTTTCACTACATCGCTAAACTATGACTGTATAGACTTGGCAACTGTTTTTAACAGTTGCTAAATTGTTTTGACGTCGGATGTGGAAGAAAGTGAAATTTTCAATAACTAAGGTTCACTTTTAAAAGAACCTGCACGTGTATGTCCTGAAAAATTATTATGCAACTTTGTCGATTTAACCTTTCCCCAGATCTATGGGAGTTATGTAATGCCTCTTTGTTGGCCTTTCACCACCGGTACAGTACGTCAGTGCGTGAGCACTTTGAGCACTTTTTACGGTTTTATAAGACTATGTGGCTAAGACTCTATGTGAAATCGCCTTTATTTAGTAAATCTGATTTAGGCGACTGCAGACAAAAAAAATGCAAGGTATGGAAATTCTTGGGTGTTACATTTTCTTTGCAGCGAAGGAGCAATAACTATTTCTCCACGAGAAAGACTCTTTGTTCTTAAAGTCAACCAAAAAACTGCATTCATGAATAGGTAATTACAGAGAGCGCCCCTTGCATGACAAGAGCGTCCGAAGATTGTGAATATTGCGTGTTCATGGCCGATAGTGACGAAACTTTGTTTATTTTGAGTGTTTTTTTTTTTTTTTAAAAAAAAAAAAAAAAAAAAAAAAATTACGCTTGAAGACTCATACTCAACTCCAGAGCTAGCACAGTGGAAGACCTTAAACTTTTTTATGGTCAACTCAATCTTTGTTCACTAATCTGCAGAAACTTTTGTGAACAAAGCCAAAGAATTAAAACCTGATTTGAAATAGTTACTTTGGTAAAAATCCTTACGATAACCCTCTATCCATAAATTGTCGGGCCTTCAAAAGTTCTTCCAGTTGGTCTTTTGAAAATAAATACAGTTCGCTAATTCGCAAAACTCAAGCCGGAGAGCCATAGAGGGTTTTCCAGTAGAGCTTATTAGCGCAACGGATAAAGGAAATGAAAAAAAAATACTTTTAACTGTCAATGAGCCTTTTGAAAATCATCAATTTCAAGTAGAACGACCAGTTTTACGAGCGTTTTTTAGCAACCAGAGAATTTTTACCTTGTCCGATCTCTTCTGTGGCTCTGTGTAAACAAATTTGGACTTTGACACCCAAGCACACCCTGGGATTAGCAGAGGCAAAGGCCACTGTTTAGTGCTCGAAACAAGTTCCGTTTACATTATACAGCCTTATAAAAAACATTTTGACACTAAATTACCCAGTTAGGGTATGATTCAACGTGGAAAACACCAAAAAAATTCAGTTTTTTTGAGATTTTCGGGCTAGTGTAGATTTTGCCGTCAACGATGTAACACGGGCAAACATCATCCAAGCTACGTGCTAGGCACAACCCAGAGAACAAATTCGGAGGTGAGCTATTCTCTAAGTGAACGGCCTCTATTATTTGAAAATCTCGCCTGTTTTCAAAAGAAAATTACGGCACACTATTTCTTATGCATAAACTTGTTAATGAGAGATTGTATCGTGCTATTAGCCTACGTCTGAGTTAGCTCCTTTGGAACGTTTCCGTAAGATATTCATCCTGTCACTGGGCGTCAATAAGGGCAGAAAGATGAGTCATCCCGTGATCACACGTAAGCGGCTGAGACGTGCTCGAACTTTTATCTTTTCAAAGGCAGTATTCTAAACAATAGTTAACAAGTGTGTGTCATGACCAAAGCCTAGAGATTATTGATATGGCTTAGTAATATTACGTTGATTTGTCTTTACAAATGAGTAAACTAGGATACAAAGACCGAAAGATTATCAGAAGAACAAAGGTTTCGAAGTCCAACTATCCTAATGAAGCTTTCACGGTCATTTCAGAGCTTTTCAATTCTTATATCTGCCCTTGTAAGTAGGTGGAACGAATTTAAGTCATAATACAGTTTACTTTTGAAATATTGACATACAGCTCCTCACGATGGAACTGAATAAAACTATTTTGACGATAATCATTATCGTCTACTGAAGTAGGACCTTTTTTTTCAGTTAAACCCGTTTAACCACCATCAAACAACAAAATGGTGATCGAAGAGATTTAAATCAGTCTAATTTGATTCAACAAAGATCTAACTTCTGAGAAACAGACCTGGCTTTTCTAAGATTTCAAAAAATTGTATTCCTTATTTCAAGTTTACTTTCTCTTCACCCGGTTTTAAGGTATAGTTAGTTATAATCCTTTTGGTCAGACCGATAAGACTGGATTACGAACTCGTTTGTGGTAGTTTCGACTTACGGTTGAGTTATTGTCAAAATAGGTTCATTTCATAGACTCGGTTGTTGATCGTTATCGCAATTTCTACTGAAATAACGAAATTATAGTCTTCTGCTATCAGAAAGACTGTAATATCAGCTCAATAACTTGACTTCAAACGTAATAAATCTAGTTTGTAGTTAGAGTTTAGAGTCTGCTCTTACTGAGTTGTTAATTTTTTCATGTGTAACAACAGGTGCTTGTTTCCGTTTGGGAAAAAATCCACATATTGAGTTCACCAAGATGGCTCAGCAATACGGGGACGTGTTCAGTCTAATGCTTGGAAATCGCTTGGTGGTGGTGCTAAATGGACTCGATGCAATTCAAGAGGCCCTTATCAAGCACTCGACAGCCTTTGCTGGCAGACCACAACTGCACTCCTTTCAACTTGGAAATCGTGAAGGCAACAGTATTACCCTGAGTGATTACACTCCACAGTGGCGTCTAACCCGCAAGATCAGTGTTTCTGTGATCCAGAGTTTTGCCAAGAATACAGCAAACTTACAAGAAAACCTGCTACAGGAATGCCAACGCTTGATCTGCTGCCTTAAAAAGCAGACAGGTAAACCCGTTGACGCCCTCCTGGCTTTGAAGTTCGCAACAGGCAACATCATTCTTAATGCGCTCTTCGGAGTTAAGTTTTCGTATAACAACGAAGCCCTTCGAAAAATACTTGCCATCTCCGATCGCTATGGAAAAGCTATATCTGGCAGCGCCATCGTTGATTTCTTTCCATTCTTGAAGTACTTCCCGAACAAGGCACTCTCCGATCTCGTAACCTTAATAACGGAAACTTTGGATCTCCTTGGTAAGATGTTTATCAAGAACAAAGAGACCTACACCGAAGGAGAGGTTCGCAACATCGCCGACAGTTTCATCGATACGGTTGAGAAAGAAACAATGAAAGACAAAGAGAACAGTCCAAACAGTCAGAACACACTCAACATGGCTCCGCTACTCAGTGATGAGCAGATTGTTCAAGGCATGACAGACCTCTTTGGTGGCGGCTTCGATACATCGTCAACAACTCTTAACTGGGCCCTGGCGTACCTGATCAAGTATCCCGACATTCAGTGCCAACTCCAAGAAGAGCTAGACCACGTGGTTGGAAGAGAACGCCTTCCCGTTCTTGAGGACCTGGCCTCACTTCCCCTGCTCCAAGCGACAGTATACGAGCTTATAAGGGTAACAAGCCTTGCTCCTCTTTCAGTGCCCCGTTCAACGATCAAGGAAACGAAAATCCGCGACTTCGTTATCCCGAAAGACACGATGGTCTTTGTTAACTTGTGGTCCGTGCACCGTGACCCAAAAATCTGGAAAGATCCGCATGTTTTTAATCCATGGCGTTTCCTGAAAGGCGCTGGGGAGCTGATCGATCCAAAGTCATTTGGAGGTTTCCTACCATTCTCTGCTGGTCGTCGAAAATGTCCTGGTGAGCCCTTGGCCTTAAAAACAATCCCTGTTTTCCTTGCAACACTGCTTCACCACTTCCGATTTTCACAGGAAGGTTTGCCGGAAGAGTATCAAGGCATTAATCTTGAGGGTAATTGTGGTCTCACGTTAACGCCGGACAAGTTTTATGTGCGTATCGAGGAACGATTGTAAATGAACTCAATAATCGAAGGAACTGCAATTTAACTGATCTTAGCAACATTATTCAATAATCATGAGACTACAAGACCAAGAATGGGACATGCAACCATTGGAAAAACTAGTTAGCATCAGAGTTAATTAAACGCGACCGATCTGTACAGTTGACATGGACTAATGTTGTACTCATTAAGATGGCTTCGTGTTAGTTGAAATCGCCTTCCAAGACAAGTGTAATTAATACATCGCCATTTTTTAATGTAAAACGTATAATAATCATAACAATTGTATAATCTATTAATACCCTAAGTTATATTTCACTTGAGCAAATTTAATCGAGGTTGAGCTGTGCATCGCGGCAGTTTTTGCGAGTGTCTTATCCAGAAAGAAACGTTGTGCACGTATACGAAAACACCAGATTGAGAGAGTCACAATCATGTATATATTGATTAAACTTCCCATCAAACTTATATTTTCATTGTGTCCTTTCTGTAACTAAATAATTTGGATATATCACCGACGCAGCCCCAAACAGTTTCTTTCGAAACTATCAGCCTTTATACTTTCTGTAACTAGACAACGAAGTTTTTTTATATGAACTCACCAGTACATAGGATGGTGCCATAGAAAGAGTTGATTAAAAGTAAGTTTGCCCGCCATCATTTGCCCTTCTCATCTAGATCCAATAAAGAAAACTGATCCTGAACGATTATACCAGAGAATGCTACAAGAAATTAGGTTTCCCTCCCATCACTGATGGGACGATTGAATCGTCTGGAGATCCCTAATATGTGTTAAAGTGGTAAAGATTTTAATTGCTGTTTGCTGAATCGCTCCAAGTATCAGCAAAGTTTTCAATGAATGATTTTTTGCCCTCTCTTCCCTTTACCCTCGCTTAATCAAGGTGTTTGGGGAAATACAATGCTCTAAAATGAGAGTCTTGCTCTGTAAATGATATCAGTTTGAAGAACAGTGTTGATAGTCAGACGCCAATCTGGATAGAGATTAAAGCAAAGACTTCCAGAATTTGTGATCTCCTTTCGGGAATTGTAACCTCAATAAAACCTGGCCGTTGGGCGAAAACACTGATGATAAACTTAGACTGCTATGATGGTATTCTTTTGGATTTAGATGAGTTTGCGAACTTATAGATATGTAGGCCAATTAAGTTAATTTTTGCAGAGCACGTTGAAATCGACATGGGTCTCAGGGTTATTTTCTAGTGAAAACATGTAACTTTTAATGATAAATGCACTTATTCTCGTTAATTAGTACCTTTCGACCCGATACTTTTCCTTCAAGTGAAAACGAGGTAAACATAAGACAAGGGTATATTTTACTAATGGGGTCTCTAAACAATTGGATCCATTAAACCGTGACCGTAGCATGTCTTGCAGCTCCAATCAATCAATAGCGTGCCTTAAGCCTAAGCTTCTCCAAAACACAGCAACAGGAACCTTGGGGCTTAATCACACAGTTTACCTTCGACGGCTATATTTCAGCGTTTCGGTCCATGTAAGATCGCGGTAGTGATTTGTCGACCGTCAGCAGTTCAAGGCCAAAATATAAGCAAAGGAATTTTATGCTACGCACGTGCTAACCACAACCCAGAAAAAAAAACGCAAGACCTGACCTATATTTTCTAAATGAGCAATTAAAAATCTTTAAAAAACTTTTTAATTAGTATGTATAACCATGACGGTAGCCTATAACAGTTCGATCGTGTCTTAGGCTTACGGCACGCTACAAAGCGCCAGAGAGTTCATTCTGAATGGGGTCTAATGTCGTCTGGCATTAAGGACGAGCTGTCACAATCATGTCTTTTCCTAAGAAGTATTGCAAACCGCAGTTTTAACACGTTTGTCATGCATGGCGAAAGCCAACAGATCACCAGTTTGGCATTGCGACATCACCCTTATTTTTTTTTTTCAAAGAGAAGTATTAGAACTCAACAATTGTATTGCCACAAGTTGTTGTAGTACACTGCCCTGCAGATATCGGCTCCATAGGGTTCAGCTTAATGAAATGTTTCTAAAAAAATTCACACAATCAGTGCTCAATTCGTCTCTATGATTTTAAAATTTCTTCTGGAGACGAATACACATTCAGAAATTGAAACATTTCAGATTAAATTAGTCCATATTTAATAGCTACAGGTCCAGCCAGTCAACGTGAGGGACATACTTACGAAGACAGATTGTGATCCGCTTTGTAGCACCGAAAGTGATCACGTTTTTTTACTTGATTCTTGGCAAAGGCTGGATAACGAAAAGAGACTAGGTCGAGACAGTGCGTTACAAGATACGAAGAATCAAATGAAAGTTCGAGTTGAGAGCTATAAATGCTTAAATTTTGATAACCCTAAGACACCGAGGAATGAATTTCTCGTGCACTAATTTTTCAAAAATGTCACGAAATCATTCCATTTCAGTGTTACAATTCTCTGTTGATCTAACCAGGACATCGGACGAGCATTATGGCTTGCTCGGGGAACAGGAACATTTTAAGGATAAATTTAGGCAATCTTCCAACCAGTCTGTAACCAGCTGTCCACGTCCCCCCCCCGCCAAAAAAAAACGCACAAGTTTTATTACTTAACGATTCTGTCTGACTCTAAACAATTATCGATGATAAGTGAAGGACTCCTTTAGTTTTAGCCAAGCTAAAAAAAGGGGCTTTGTTCTAAGGACTTTTCCTAGCCGGTTGACGTGTTCTCGCCGGGTGGACCACCCCCCATAAGCGAAAAAGAGAATCTCTATGTAACTACCCCCTCCCCACCCACCTTTCACATCTTCTTCTATCCGAGCGTAATGGCATGAAAGATGCATAACTCTTGTCAGTGATATACATCCCACGCCAATAACGTACTATAAATATGGTTAGCAAATCTGCTCATGATCGATGACTTTTTATATAGGTCCAGGGAGGTTTTAATAAGACAGTTCTAATAGACTTGTACAATTGTGAAAGGAGTAGCTTTACCGTATTTACGTTTACAGGGAATATACCTGGAAAACTGAAATCTTAACATCATGATCAAGCTACATGTAAACTGATTAAAACTAAGTGAAAGTCTATCGTTGATTGAGCACTGTGCTGTTGGCAAAAGCTTTAGAATGCATAAACAAAGATTAGCCTAAAATAGAAACCAGAAAGATAACTAATTTGAATTCTTCGCTCTGACGAGCGAGAGAATGTTTTCCTTCTTGATACGTTTTCAGTGCTCAGCAGCTCAGCAAATCGTATCAAGTTATACCATTTTAGTAACGTTCGTCGAGAGTTGACGGAAACAACGTGTCACCTGGCCTAGGATCTACAATGCCCACTTGATATCACTTTTACCTTTTCACTGTTACGTGAAATAATTTCTTGATACTTTCACGTCGCGTTCAGCTATAGATAAGAAACGTTAAATATTTCTTTTCAACATGATAATGTTTAAAAAACGGACTACATTTCAAATCACAACTATTCAACATCTCAACGGTTAAAAGAAATCAATGAAATAATCCTTAAAGAGTGATAGATATTGCTTGTCCGTGATTTTCTAAGTGTTGATCCAATATCACCAGCTCGCTGTTCATCGATCAAATTGGCACCACGCTCAACTGTGAAGGACTTTAAGTGGACACTCGAAATCAGTTTTCCTGTTTTAATTTGGCTGTCATCCAGTTACGATAAATGCACACTATAGCGCATTTTGGGGTTTTGTGGTCATAATGATGGCGGCAATAGGGCCAAGGCAAAGGCCTTAATGATGGTGCATTTCATTTCTAGAAAACCGTTGACGTAAAATGTGATGAGAATTACAAAGGTGTTCTTCAGCCGTAGGCTAATGCATGTGCCACTGAGTGAGTCAGCTAAGTTTCAAATCTGATTTACATAAAACTTAGTTCAGTCAATGAAACTTTTATTGTACTTACTTGTACATTTATTTTTCATCTGGTACCTTCATTAGTGCATAAAATATGCTTTAATATATGATTAAGGTAATCTATGACTGAATGTACCTTCTAGTGTATAGTTGTAGAGTATTGCAGTAAAAAAGCAATGTGGTGTAAAATGCAGAAGGGTTAACGAACAACTCTTGATGATGCCAAACCTGTGACAAAAGGAGGACTTGAGTTGGTTTGGGCAGAGTCTGTACACTGGTCAATTAACAGGCCAGGGTTTGAGCAGGAAATTATTAGAAAAGGTGCATGTATGAAATGTGCATTAAATTTATTTAAATACCAATTTTTTCACTTCGAACGCCCTGTGTACCTGGCATCATGGATACCTATTCCTCTCTCATCCAAAGGTGTACGGTTCGAGCCCAAGCCGCGCCAACATTTTTTTTTCTTTTTCCTTTTTTTTTTTTGTTTCTTTTTTATTTTCTTTTTTTCCTCTTTTTTTCTTATTTACGTTAATTCTTGTTCAAAGGTTAAGTTAGATCTGTTCCGAGTAAACGCACATGTGTGCACGTTTGACGACGTAGCTCTGACATTCAAATCGATAACCTGATGTCGAAATGCAGAGGTGAGGCCATAAAAACATGAACTAAACCCGCCAAAAGACGAAAAAAAAATCGAAAGAAACCCAATCAGATTCCTTTAACGAATCAGTCAGTGTCGGAACTGAACCATACGAAAGCCTAACGTTAGTCCGCCATTTTGAAAACCACGAGGGGGTTGGGGTAAGGTTTACCGACTTACACGACACCAAACATGGTGCCTACAGCCTTCCTAGATGGACGGCTCAGTAGGCACAAAATACTAATAAAAACTTAAGGGGAGAATGGAAAGCCCGTCAACCCTGTAAGAGTCAAACGAAGTTGAAAACAGAAAATGAGATTTACTTAAAAGATTGCGCACTGTTAGAAGTTCACAATAGGCCAAAAAAGTAGGGAACGTTAAGTTGTCGTGATTAAACGAAATGATTTTTTTAAGGGCTCTTGTTTCCTCAATTTTTATCTAAAAAGCGTTTGAAAAAGTAAAAAAAATACTAAGTGCGGTATCCTAGAACCATTAGGACAGAAAGATTCTATCGGATTTAGAGCAAGAGTAAGCTGTATCATTCTTTATTCTGATTACTTGGCGATTTTACTTTCAATTACGACGATGGAAATCATGATTAAGAAGTTGGAACTTCCAGACATTTCATATGAAATCCTCAGTTAAGAATGCAAGCATCACTCAACCTAGATATTATTTTCCAAATAAAAATGCGAATTCTCTGCTGCTTCATTTTTCCCCCAGGCCAACTCGGTTGTTAGAATGCAATGACTCGAATAATCAGTATTTCTTAGGCATATTCTAAACTGGACTATACCCCGACTCATTAGAAAACGAGTCCAGAAGATTAAGTCTCTCATCGCAAAATGAAAAACAGATAAACAGAAAAAAAAAAATCATCAAATTTATGAAGCACACTTTACAGTTTTTACTCCTGTACCTGACCCTGCTTTTTATATGATATTTGAGGTGATAAA